CTCAGGGCCCATCTGAGCATGTCGCCTGCTAAGGAGGAGCGGAGGCAGGGGAGGGGAGGGCGGGGAGGTGAATAAATAATAGGAAATAAAACTTCATGAAGCAGAAAATAAAAGGCAGATTATACAGATGTGGCAATTTGAAGGATCATTGCCTCTGTCCTCTTTTTAACTGCTGCATCTGGAGTTTTGAAGCGGCTTATCCTCTCCCTCCCTCTGCCAGGACCCCGCCTGGCTGGAGGCCCCCACGGGGCCAAGGCACGCGTGGGGACAGCACCTCAAATGCTTCAAAGGGCGGTGGCATTTCCAAGCAACACGCGTGGCTGCCCAGCCTGGGAGGGGCTTGTGGGCGGCGGGGAAGGGGTTAGAAGGGTGGGTGGATGTTTGGGGGTGAAGCTCTGAGCAGGTGTGGCTATGTCTTGCAGGTGAGAGAGTGTGAGTCACACTGGTTAAGGGGGGCGAGGCTGCACAGTCAGGAACGGGGTGAGGATGTGCGAGGTTTGAGGAAGGGGACCCCTGGCCAAAGGGGGGTCTGGCTGTCTGTCAGCTGGAAGATGAGGCCCAAGTCTTTGCAGCTTCTTTCTGCTCTTCATCAAAATTCATTTGTTAAGCCTCAATTTGACACTGTGCCAGGTGCTATATAAACAGACATGGTCCCTGCCCTTAAGGAATTTCCAACCTAAAACACACACACCCACACTGACATTTTGTTTATTTTATTTTAAATATTAATGTATTCCCCACCTTGTTCCAGCGAGGATTTGAGACAGCTCATAGGAAATGCATGCAATAAATGAGTAAACTACAAATAGGAGAGAAAGCATCGGGACCACAGAAGACAGACCATGGGTGCTAGAGTGGGCCCCAAGCAGCCGCAGAGTCAAGCTGGAAAGTGGCCTCCGTCTCTCGGTGGTCGAGTGGAAGAGCCATCGTGATCCCATACGTGGCTCTCACTCACAAGAAGACAACGTGCCAGCTATCAGGAGATGTGGCACTTTTCCTGGCACTTGGCTGTAAAGGAAATTACTCACCTTGGCCCCAACAAAGGAGACTAACGATGGATAATGCCCTCAAACACACAGCAGCAAATTCAGGTCCAGGTTCCCAGGGCTGTCTCAGGCAGCGTCCCGCAGGGAGAACTTATCAGTTAGAGCATTAAAATCCAGAAAATCTTGAGCAAAGGAACACTCTGTGTCCTTCAACTCTCCCTTCAGCATTGGTACTTGTTTCAGGTGGGTTTGGGACCACAGATTAGCCCACGGTAGGAGCAGAGTCTCAGAGTCTCTTGATGAGTAGCTGATGTCAAGATTCCAAGCTCGGTCCAACCCAGGGTCCTCGAGGTGAATGTGGACCTGTGGTGGGGAGGGCCTGGGAGGCAGGGGCCAGACTGCTCAGCAACCCTGAACGAGGGAGGTGTCCCTTCTCCATCCACGTACCTCCTCCTGAGCCTGTGTCACACCACAGAGGAGGACAACGAAATCAGAAAACCAGAAGCTTCTATCCTGATACCAAAGGTGAGGCAAAGGCCCATCTGGGTCAAATCTCCTTGTCTATCCTGGTGTGTTGTCTTTCAAAGCAATGGACCAATCATTGCATAATCCTTCATAAAAACAGGGCAGTCGGGAGGGGACTAGTTTTGGGGAGATGACACTAAGTTGGGTCTTACAGGTAATAAGTAACCCTGTACAGTACAGTACCTTACAATTTCCAGGAAGATTTATTGAAGGGCCACATCTTACAGACAGAAGCCCAGGTCTGAAGTTCAGAACAGAGGTCAGGGCTGAGGCTTCGATTTGGAGACTTCAACCAGAAGCTATGCTGAAAGCCCTACAGTCAGCCAGCTCTGAGGCTATACATTGTGGAAAGACTTGAGTTTCGGGGTGGGAAGAGCAAGAAAGAGTAGCAGAAAAGACAGAAAAAGAACTGCATGAAAGTAGAAAAGCCAGGAGAGTGTGCAGTGCTGAAGGCCCTGGGAGGACAAAGTTTTATCAGGTCTCAGGGATATGATGGAATCCAACTATCCCAGTTCCTACCCTTGGGGAGCTGAAAGGAGAAGGGAGGGGAGGGGAGAGGAGGAGAAAATTAGAGTTTTGTTTTGTTTTTTTATTTCGGCATATTATGGGGGTACAGACTTTAAGGTTTCAATAAATGCCCATTCCCCCCCCCTCCCCCAAAAGTCTGAGTCTCCATCATGACCATCCCCTAGATGGTGCACATCTCACTCATTATGTATGTATATACCCGCCCCCCTCCCCCCTGAAAGTTAGAGTTTGACATGGCAGAGAGTATCTGGAGGAGAAGACCCAAGGAAGGCTGTGTGGAGCTAATGGCATCTAAATAACAGTCAGTCTTCTCCCTATCATCTGCTCCTCCTCATCTTTCCTTGTAGGTCTCAGAATTTCTCAGTAGCTGGTCCTGGTCCCTGTGCCTTGGGCAATATCAGCGTCACCCCCACCATCTTCAGAAGTGGGCTCTGATTACAAGTAATTAGCTCAGATATGGCCTAAGGCAGGCTGCTCAAGGAGACTCTATTCCTGGATTTGAGTTTGAAATTTCCAGGAAGCTCGTAGTCTCTATCTGCTAGATTTGTACCAAGAAGAGGGATCCTGGGAGCTACTGGGGCCATCTTGGTACCATGAGGGTTGCTCCTGCCTCTTGGGCCTGGGAGACTGGAGCCTCAGAGGAGCTACAGATAAAAGGGGCCTGTATCAGTGGTGAGCCCTAGAGGAAGCCTTACCTGACCTGGACACAGATTATCCAGTGATCAGATAAATCTCAACATGCCAATGCCCATTTGAGCTAAGGTTTGTTACTTGTAAGGTCCAGGCAGAGGGAAAGCCAAGTGCAGAGGCCCAGTATCAAAGCAGGATGGCATGTTTGAGGGCAGGACCCAAGCTGGAGCCCAGAAGAGGGGAGGGTGCATGGGTAAGTCTGGCAGGCTGTGTGCTAATAGCTAACCTCACCAGACTTTCCTTCTGTGCCAGGCATTGTTCTGAGGTGCTTACGTACATAATTTCAGTTAGTCCTCACGAGGATCCTATGACATAAGTAGTGTTATTATCCTCATTTTATAGAGAAGCAAACAGCACACGAGCCTAAATAACTGGGCCATGATCAGACGGTTAGAAAAGGTACAGACAGTACTCAATCCCAGGCAGTGTAACCCCAGTGCCTGGCCACTGGGGCCTGATCAGCTGGGCTTTGGCGCAGGGTCTGCAGGCCATGTGGCCAGCAAGGCCAAAGGTGGCTGACAGGTGAGGCGGGACGAAGGCCGGGAAGACATAGATTTGATGGTTGAAGGTCATCAGTCCCTCAGGGGGTCATCAGTCTCTTCAGGAAGAAGTGGGGTGGAAGCCAGTTTGCAAGGTGTGAATGGGAACCAGGTACCAATGGGAAGTAGGTGAGGGAGGAAAACAGCTGGCAAAGACCACGTATCCTGTGAGTTCATTGTAAAAAGGCGGGAAGCAGGGCTCGGCTACCAGAAACAGCAGAGTCTAATACAGGCTTTTATTTTTCTTTGTCCACGTGACAGTCTCCCTTGAATATGATTGCGAGAGGGTAGAGAGTAGGCCCAGAGACTCCTGATGGGGAGAGAGGCCCACGGCAGGCAGAAGAGGGGGCAGTCAATCACAGGCTTGCAGACAGCCCCTCCTCCGCAGGAGGGAAGAGAAGGGAGTGTGGCTAAATGTTGAGGGGTGTGGGCACCCAGAAAAGCTGGGGCAAAGGTGTTGGTAGAGGGGCTGCTGGGCAGGAGCCATGAGAGAGCGGCCATTCAGGAAACCTATGAGCACCTGTGCCCGTGCGGGTACAGCAGGAAGGCAAGGGAGGAGGAAGGCCCAGCTGTAGCCAGGTTTTCCCAAGGCCCCAGGCCATTATCTTTTTTTTTTCTTTTCATTTTTTTATTTTGAAATATTTTTTTCAGATTTACATAAAAGTTGCACAAATAGCACAGTGCATTTTCAGGACATACTCTAACCCTACCCACTGGCCTTACTTATTCAAGTCATCTCATTATAGAGCTCTCAGGCTGTCTCCCAGGCCCTGAACCGGTCACTCTTCTGCTTAAAAACTGCACTGCACATTCACAGAAAGGCACACTCCTTGGCCGCATCGAAGACACTATATAATCTGGCCGCAGCCCACCCTCACCCTGACCCTCCAGCTCTGTTCAACCCCAATCAACCCTGTGTCTCCATCTCTAGGAGACACTGAGTCTCAGGAAAGGATCCTAGCCTCAGTGAACGAACAAATGACTGGCATCAGTAGAGATGGAGAGAGAGTGGGGAGAGGTCACCTCAGCGGTGTCATCCTGAGTCACAGCGAGCCTAGATGGGAAGGGAAGGGCTGAAGCCAAACTCCAACTGCCCTCGTGCAGCCAGGGCACATCACCAAGCCCCTCTGCCCACCCCTTCTCCTGCAAAGAGAAGGACTGACCTGCCGCTCAGACAGGAAAGGAGGCTGGGATGGAGACCAGGTAAGGCGCAGGCTTGTTATGGTTTGAGCTGTTCCTTACCCATGGCGGGGGCTGGGGACCACCCAGCTTTCACTTTCATGGGCGGCCTGGAACAACACTGTAGGGGGCTCTGGGCTGTCTCGGTAAGGCTGCAGGAAGGTGCCAGAGTCCCACCCTTTCGCTTGGGAGAGGCTTCCCAAATGGGAGGATTCCTGGCCCAGGCCACTGTGGGTTTGGGGAAGCTGAAGGCCCCAGTTCTCATGATGGCACAGGGGCACATGGACTAACTTCTTGCCTTTCCATGAGCACAGCTCTGCAGTCAGACCAAAGGAGCTAGAAAGCTAAAGCCCGCCCCCTAGTGGCCCCACATCACAACTGCAGCCCACAGCGCATCTCCATGCTCCAGCCCAATAGGCAGAGGTGCTGGGGCTGCACCCACTGGGTGAGGCCAGGCAGCCACCTTCCCCTGGTCTGAAGGCTCCACCTGCCCAGGTGAAAGGGAGATACCAGCTCTACACAAGCATAGTAGCATTGAAGTGTCACACATACATGCAGACGAACTGCCACCTTTTATTCTGGTTTTAGAAATAAGGACACATGTCCAGTGAAATCAAATAACCCACTCAAGGTCATTTCGCTTATAAGCATAGATCCTGGGCCAATCTGTGTCCACTGGATGCTAGGACTCCACCTCGATAAAACAAGACAGCCGGACCTGACCGTGGCTGTGAACTGCTACGACGCGTCAACATTGCCCAAGGAGCATGAAGCACATATATCCATCCTGGACTCAGGCCTCCTGAATCCGATTCCCAGGCATGGGGCGGGAACGTGTCTTTCAGCATGCTTCCCCAGCCATATGAAACGTGTCTCCATACTGACAGCTGGGAACAGTGGGCAGGACTGTCGGGGACATGTTTAACTCATTTGTGAGTCCCCTAGTGCTGGCCCATAAAAATTGTTCAGTATTATTTGTGAAATGAATGAATGAGTGGATGAATACATGATTCTGAGGTCCCCTCCAGCTCTGGCGGCCTGTAACTGTGCAACTCCTGTGTACATGTGAACACACAGACACGGTCTACACACAAGCACGGACGCGCAGATGCACGCGTGGCGAAGGGCATGCAGCCTCCACGCTGACCCTCCCTTCTCACACTCACGCACACCTCCTTCTTTGTTGGCTTGTATTTATCCCCACAGCCAGAGACCCCCACGGGCCAGCCCCACTCCGTGGAGTTGCAGGCCCAGGCTGATCACAGCATGGGGAGGGAGGAGGGTGGCCCAGCAGGAAGGCCGGAGAGGCAGTGCGTCAGCGACAGGCAGTGGCAGCGGGCGGCGGCAGAGGCCCCTCTTGGCGCACTGCCTACTGGCACACTTGGCTGAACAGAGACAATGGTGGCTGCTCCTCCAGCCCAGCCTCCTCCCCACAGGCAGAGCCCCGCATCCCTGAGTCTCCGGAACCTCCCCCAGTGCGCAGGCTCAGCTGGGAGGCAGCCAGAGGGCAGGGCAAGGGGGTTTCCCAGGGGAGAGCAGCAGAGCCCCTGTGTGCTGGCCCTGGGTGGACAAGGGGACCTGGCACCCCTCAGGAAGAAAGCTTTCAGAGGTGGGTAGGAAGGGGCACATGAAGGGTCTCGCCAGCCTGCCCTAGGCCTCCCCTAGTCTGCAGTCCCCATCCCACCCCTCACAACTCTCTGCATCTGTGGCTCCTGCCCACAGACTGCAAAGGGGGAACTGTCACCTTCTTTTACCTCTCCCCACTCTCCAGCGGTTGGAACCTGGAGAACCTCCTTCCCTGCTCTGGGGACACAAAGGCTCCTTGTTCCCAGGGCTCCAGGGTTCTCCACAGAGCTCTGTGGCCCCCACCCCTCCCAGCTCTTGCTCACGTCCTCGGCTCTGCTCTACTGATCAGCAGTTGGGTGTGTGAGGCTCTCATCTGCCCCCTGCGCATAGGTGATTATAGGGGGAAACGAGCCAGGAGACAAAGGAACGGGGCCCCACAGCCTCACGGTGCCCTCAAAGCCTGCAGAGGTCCCTGCCCAGAAGCTGTCCCTCAGTGGGCAGGGCCTCCGCAACCCTACTCCCTAGGTGACAGGAGGTTGCTTGGGATCTCCCAGGAGTCCCTGACCCGCTCTCCTGGGGCCTCCCCCAGCCGGTCACCTATTTCCCAGAGCGAGACCATCCTCAGGGCTGTGGCTCCCCTGGCTGGGCCGCCCAGATGCCCCTGCGGCCCCACGCTCTCTCCCAGAAGCCAGATCCACAGCACATGAGCTCTAATCTCAAACAAGTGCCAAGCACCACCAGGCCCAGGAAATGAGGCCACTCCAGATTCTGGGTGGGCAATGGAGGGTGACATGGGACAAACTCTGGGAGTAGAGCCAAGTCCTTGACCTCCCACTTCCCTTGGGGGTGGATATGAGGACCACAGAGGACCACAGGGAAATAAGGGCTGTTCTTCAGCAGGGAAGGGAGATGGCTCATCCCTGGTCATGGACCCAGTGACATAAGTCCTCCCCCCAACACACAGAGGTTCATCTCAAGTCTACGCCAGAGCAGAAGCCAGTGGCTGTGACGGGCGCCGGCTTCACAGCTGATTGCGGTTCCGCTTGGGGATGATCTTCCGGTAGGTTCTGCGCTCTGAGATGTTCCGCTTCACCTTGGCGGTGGTGGGGGCCTCATCCTGGTGCAGGGACGGGCTCGAGTGGGATTTCTTCAGGCTGAGCTTGGGCTCCCGCATGCCTCCAGCTTCCCTCCCCAGCTGCTCCTCCCACAGGTCCAGGTTGTTGGAGGGGCAGCGCAGGCGGGCCACCAGCAGCTGCACGTAGGTCTCGTAGCGGGATTTCTGCAACACACGGCCGGAAGGAGGCTGGAATCTCGAGGCACAGCTCTCAGATGTAGGAAGCTATGGCTACACAGACCTCTGCAGAAAGAGGGCTGGACCAACAGCGAGTGTCTGTGCAGTGCTTGAGCAACCAGACTTCGCAGAGCACACCTCTGGATAGCAGTATAATGACGCCTATCAGCCCAGTCCTGTTCTAATAATAGCCAACACCTTGTGGTGCTGTACCCAACATCTCTATACCATGTTACATCTCCAAGGCACTAAAAGATGTGCAAGCTACTATGCCTGAGATCCGTGCAGCCCTGCTCACAAACAGCTCACATCTGTACTGAGGCCTAATTGAGTCTCAATAGCATTTTTAAAAGTGGCATCCATACAGTGTGATGCTAACTACCCTCGTCTGTTTAACACGGGCTCCTAAAGCCTCTGTAACTGGCGTCCTTAGGATGCAGTTCCCAGTGTACAAGGTGCTTTCCCTCCATCCATCCCACTGGATCCTCATCCCAGCCTGGGGGGTTGTTTGGGGACAAACCTCTGTAGAGAGCAGGGCCAGTGGCATGCTAAAAGTCCTAGCTGGTCAGTGGCAGGGAGAGATTGGGTCTGCACAGCCATGGATACAACCAGCAAGCCAAGAGATAGGCAGAGACCTTGGAAACAGGCTGGGAAGAGTGGGAGAGGGTTGTGGGAGGGCCCCATGGGCACAGGTGGGCATGCTGTTGACACCCCCCTGGTCTCTGCCTCTAGACGGTCTCTGATCCCCTGTCTCACACTGCGCCTTGCCTGCCCTTCCTGCCCAGCAGGCCCCCACCCTAAGCAGCACACCCAGGACCCCTGAAGGAGTCGCTCAGTGATAGGCTCCTAGAATGAGCACCGACATGAGGCCAAAGCAGAATTGGGGTGGGTGATGGTGGGGGGACACCAGGGGATAAAACATTTTGACATCAATCGTAGAGCTATTAAAGGTCATTCCTTAGTTAAGATCATAAATGAGGCATTTGAGCAGCATGTAAATTTATCAGCTTTGGACAAATTGTTTAATCTATCTCTGCCTTGGTTTCCTCATCTGTAAAGTGAGAATAATAGTACCTACCCCAGAGTTGTTAGATAATTAAATGAGATAACCTATGCAAGTAATGCAAGCTCCATAAATACTACCTACTATTATCAGGAAGGTATGAGAGGGAATAATTCAGCTAAAATATAGTTTTTCCTCCAATGTAGGAAAAGTCACATACACTCTTAGGAGAGAGAAAACTATACAAATAACACCCCCTATGAGTGTTCCAGGCAAGCAGTTTCTGAGTCTCCCCCAGGACAAGAGGAGGGGGCCTGCGTGCACTGACACACTTGGCGCGAGTTCGCAGACAGCGCACGCGGGCCGGCGCGCCCCGGGAGGGACGGCGGCAGGGACCGAGGCAGCCACGAGAGGGCGCAGAGGGCGGGCGAGGGGGTGGCGCGGGGCCGGGCCGGGAGCCTCCCGCCTCACCTCGTACTCCAGGTACTCCTTCCGCAAGCGGTAGTCCTCCAGCTCGCGGCTGCGGCCCCGCCTCTCCGGTAAGTTCCTCTGCAGATCCAGCAGGTCGTCTGAGGCAGCGTCCAGGCAGTTCTCGTGGGATCGATGCTGCTCCTCCTGGAAGCGGGAGGCGTTGGGGACGCTGTCCGAAGCCCCCTCCCACCCCACCCTTCCGGGCCCAGGTGTGCAGCGGCCCCCTCCAGTCCGCCCCTCCCCCCGCCAGGTGCAGGGCACCGCCCTCCCGCCTCGCCACCACCTGGGGCTGGGGCTTGGGGTGCACACTCCTCTCCGCCCACCACGCCCCCCCGCAGGCCGTACCAGGGAGCTCCGGGCCGGGCCCACGGGCAGGATGGGCCGCACGAATCTGCGCTGGGAGCCCACGGCGGCGGGGAAGGGCGGCGCCGAGTGCGTGGCGGCCGCCAGGTTGATGCGCGCGATCCAGGAACTCATTTCCTTGGCAGTGCTGCGGGCAGAGGAGGTTGTGGGTGCCCAGGACACAGAGTCGGTCCTGTCACACTAACCCCATCCTCCTGTGGTCCGCACTGCCGTCCAGGGCTCAGGACTCAAACCTCCAACAGCCAGAAGCCCGGCCACTAGCAGGGTGCTTGATCTCTGCCCATGGCTTTTCTTATTTGTCAAAGAGCAGAATACGGGGAAAGCTATAGATTTTATATCAAATACTAACTATGATCAAGTGTTGGTGACTTCCTGGAATCCCTTGTTCAGAACTGGGAGGAGGCTTGAGCTGATTCACAAGGAAAAGGCTGATGCACTGGCCGAGTTGGCCACATGGGCGGGGCAAGGGTGGCAGGAAGCGCCCAGGCTTCATCCTGCCACTTCCCGCTGCAGCATTCTCAGGTTTCCTGGTCACATGGCATTGCCACCACTGCCTGGGGCCGGGAGGGTTAGGGGCAGGAAAACAAGGGGGCAAGCTCCCACCCCAGACTTACGGAGCTTGGAAGAGGTAGAGGCGCCAGTCGGCCGTCCGCAGCTGGAAGACGTGGGGCTTCTTGGTGTAATGGGTGGCCGGGGTGGCCAGCGAGTGGTGCACCCCCACGGGCTCGTCCACCATCTGCCCCACCAAGCTTTCACCCTCAGGGCAGTGGTCCTCTCCCTGCCACAGGGCACAGGGACTCAGAGAAGAGGGAGTCATCACCGGCCCACCCTCCCGACAGGACAGTACACTGTCGCCCACTCCCTGTCCCCACTCTGCCAGTCAGGGCTGTCCGCTCCCTTCCTACCTTCAGGAAGTAGAGAACCATGCCCCGCAGTAAGGTGTGGAACATCTTCCATCCTCGCTTGCCCCACGGCGCTGTCCCACGAGCAGAACACAAAGGTGGGTGGTGGCACTCGCATCCAGACACACTCAGACACACACAAGTGTGCACACAGTCATCCCCGCCACGGCCCCTCACCACCTCCAGTCCCTCGCTGGGATCACAAAAACAGAGCATAGCAACACAAGAAAACACACACAATCACAAACACACAGGATCTCTCCACACGGCGATCCCGCTTGGGAGAAAACCAGACAGAACGACTCGTGCACAAATGAGGATGTTCACACAGAACACCCCTCTCCAAACACACACCCGGAACCCCACTGTGCAAATGCCCAGTCACACTGCTCCACTCAGTCATCTTTCTGGTCCCTGCAAGATCATCTCAATGGGTTCATGGGCTCAGGTCCCAGCCTTGGGGTGTCCTTCCCTGTGTACCCAACTCTGGGCAACCGCCCCCTTCCCCACCTCCCCACCCTGGTGTTGTGGGGTGATACCCATTCTAAGCTCCTTGGGCAGAATGCCCAATTCCCTGTGGTCACCTCCCTGGGGCCCCACCCAGGCCCCAGTGGCTTCTCACAGCCAATGCAAGTTCCTTCCTGGTGGCCCCACCCCATTCAGTCTGTGATCCCACGTTAGTCTGCTGAGATCACTGCTCTGGTCCTGTTGCTGCCCTACTCAGAAACCTTCCCCGCCTGGGGAATGAGCCCAAATGCAGACCCTGGAAAATTTGCCCCAAACACACCTCCCGCCAGTCCCTTTCACACACCCCACGTCCTGAGCAAATTCTGCTTACTCTTTTCTCTGTGGGGGGTTCTTTCTGATCAACTTCAAAAACCCAGACCCTCTTATCCTCAGCTCAGATTCCATCCATCATTTCCAGAAGCCTTACCTATCCCTGTCCCCGAAACCACAACCTTTCCCTCCTCACTTGATCCAGCCTTCCCTACACACTCGGCTCCACCTTTTATCCCAGACACTGGTGTGCTTGTGTGATTTCTGCCTGACCACAGGGGCTCAGGGGCCCAGGAATATCTGGGCCACCCCATCCCCCAGAGCCTTACACAACACCTGGCATGCAGTCACTGTTCAGGACACATTGAGGAAGGAAGATGGGCTGCCTGTCCTAGACACAGGCCATCTCTCTGCACACGCATGCATCATTCATAGACATGGGTCCCTGAGCAGGGCCACTCTGAGCACACCACCCTGTCCTGGGCAGCAGACACTCACTCTTCTTGCCATCTGCATCATGATGCATCTTCCGAGCCAGGATGCCCTGCTTGTAGGTGGGCACTGTGGTGTCCTGGGCCAGCTGGAGGAAGGGGCTGCTCATCTTGCCAGCTGGTGGGGATGGCCGGGCCTTCTCTGGTCTGGCTGCGTCTTCTTCATCCCTGGACATCGGAGAATCGGGCTGAGAGTGCTGACTGGGCAAAGACCACTGGGAGGTGTCTGTTGCCTCCTAGGGCTTCAGTGCCCTCTCCCTTGCTCTGGAGCCACACCCAAGACCCCACAAAAAAGTCCTCCTTCAAAGGCAGCCCAGCAATTCCTGCAAACACTGCCACCACCACCCCACTACCTCTAGCCCTTCCAGTATTATCTGGGCTCCTGCACCCTCTCTGAGCCTAGCAGCTTGCCCCTGGCTCCACCCTACTCAGGGGAGCACTATCCAGGGCGCTGAGCTTCTTCAACTTTCAGGTGGGCGACAGAGGGAGGACAGCCCAGAGACAAGGGTGAATGGGGAGGGTGAGAGAAGGAAGGGACGCTCACTCACACGGCCCACTCGAGCTTCTCGCTGCGGATAGACCAGTAGAGAGCCTAGAACAGAAGCACACCAGGGACAGGGAGCCTCTGTCAGCAGAGGTGGGACAGGGACACATGCACAGCCTATCTCCTCTACCCCCAGCACAGCTGCCTTCTTCTTGAGCAGGCAAGCACCCACTCATCCATCCGTCCATCCATGCAACAAATTATCCGTGGAGTATCTCCCATGTGCCAGGCACTGTGCTGGGTGCCAGAGACATAAAGATGATCCAGGCAGCCAAGTCACTGCCCTGCCCAAGCTTAGTGAGGCCTGAACTAGTTCTCTTGAAGGGTAAACGAATCAGCCACATCCCATCCTGCCGGGAGGGATCTGGTAGAGAAGGAACCGGCTGACTGGCCCCCGCAGTAAATGTGCAGTAAATGAATGAATGAGTGAATGATGTGCGAGAGCTTTGAAATAATAGCAAATAGTATTAATATAGATGCATCTTGCTTGCTTTTATAGCCCTCGCAGTGGCTAGCAAGACGTTTGGCACATAGTAAATGTTTGATAAATGTTCACTAAATACAGTCATATGCTGCGTAACAGCATAACAATATTTCAGTCAAGGATCAACTGCATATGCAATGGTGGGCCCATGGGTTATAATGGAGCTGCCCCAAATAGGTACCATTTTTTATCTTTTATACCGTATTTTTAGCGTACCTTTCCTATGTTTAAATATAGTTAGGTACACAAATGCGTACCATCGTGTTACAGTTGTCTACAGTATTCAGTGCAGTCACCTGCTGTGCAGGTTGTAGCCCAGGAGCAACAGGCTGTAGCATACAGCCTAGGTGTGCACAGCAGGTGCCATCCAGGTTAGGGTACATGTACTCTGATGTCCACATAATGGAAGTTTCTCAGAACATATCCCTGGTGTTAAGCAATGCGTGACTGTAGATGAAAGAGGAAATGATCTAATTGCTTCTGAAGCACATGCTGTGCACCAAACACTGTGCTGAGCACTTGACCAATTTTATTTCATCTTAATAATGACACTGTAAGGTGGTTATAGCCCCAGGAGGAACTTGAGTTGGCCAACGGGTAAATTGCCCAAGACTAGAATTCAAACCCAGGAGCACCAGGCTCCCGAGTCTGAGCTGCAGACTTTTGCCATGTGAAGCTTTGCCCTTCGTCCACTCGGAAGACCACTAAACCTGTGTTCCTCAGACTTCAAAGAGGTGGGAATCACCCAGAAACTTAATAAAACATTTTAGGGGCCCCAGCCCCAGAGAGTCTGATTTAGTAGGTCCAGGGCAGGGGCCTGCCAGCCAGGGACTACTCTTAGTAGCCCTTCCATGGACAAGCCCTGTCCCCTCAAGCATATTTTGGCAGAGCCAGGCCTGAGCTCGGCATTCCCCTTGGGACAAGGAAGCAAGGCTCCAGTCCCCAAGCAGGGAGCCCCGGGTTCCCAAGCCCATCACAAAGGCCCAGTTGTGCCATACCTTCAGCAGCTCCTTGGGGAAGTTCCCGCCATCCTGCAGGCCGTTCAGGTTGGCTATGAATTCCTGGCAGCTCATGCTCTTCCCAATGTTCTGTGGCCATGGAGCGAAGTGGGACAGCTTGAGCACACTCAATAGAATAACTCCCCAGCCACTCCAGAACCTCCCCAGTTCCCCAGGACCACATCCCCCAGGGCCCTTCCCTGACCCGTCCCAGGCCTCTGGTCTCCTCCCCTCACCCGCACGCTGCCCCCGACCCCGGCCCTGCCTCAGTTCCCACGGGCACTCTCCCCACCTTCCTACCTGTCCGTGCAGGTCTGTGTTAAGGAGCATGATTGCACATGTCAAGGTGTGTACGGAATCTGCCCCAAAGTAGTGAGGGAGAGAAAGCTCATTGGAACCAGGGCTGCTCGGTTTCCTCTGCCCACACTAGGCAGGTGACCCTGCCACCCTGGAATGCTTCTGCTTTCCACAGCCCTCAGAACGCTCCCACCGGCTGCCACCCAGTGAGCCCCCCAGCAGGCACAGGCACCACACAGCCCCCTGCCCTCCCCTCAGGGCCAGTCCCTCCCTACCTGCCGAGGGGAAGACCCCAGGATTGCAGTAGTAGAAGCGCCTAGAAAACTGGTAGAGGATTCGCTCCCGTTCCTGTGTCTCCCCACTGACCACCAGGGCCTGCAGAAAGCCCCTGCCAAGGAGGGCCAGAGTCAGGGAGAGAGCCCAGCCCCAGGCTGGTGCCACTGCCCCATGGCCATCCCTCCTCCACAGCCTCCCCAGGGAGGGCCCGAAGGCATTACCGGAGGGCTCGGTCCAGGCTCTGGCCTCCGAACTGGAAGAAGGACAAGTATTCCTCAGCCACAGCCCTGCTAAAGTCGTTGCTGCAGAGGGGAAACGGGGGTGAAGCCTGCACCAGGGGTCTGGACTGGGGCCACAGAGGCAGAGGCCCCCCCCCCAGGGCTGGCACGTGCCATAGGGCCTGACGGAGTGGGAGCTGAGCAAGGGAAAGACACAGCCAGGCTGGACTCTGGGTCCCGAGAAGGCAAGGGGGTGGCCAGAGTCTGACTTCCTGCCCCTGTACCTGCACCCAGTGCTGAGCAGGAGGGACTGTGCAGTCTGGGTGGGCAAGGAGGGGAGGTCCACGTTGCTGAGCAAGAATGGAGGGTGTGGAGAAGAGGCGATACAGTGTGACCACAGCAGGGATGGCAAGGGTAGGGGAAGACTGAGGATGGAGAATGGGACGACCAGGATGGGGAAGATGGAATGAAAGGTCAGACAGGACAGGGAGGTCAGGGTGGCCAATGAAGGAGCCCATCAGCAGCTCCTCCCTCGCCTGCCTCAGCCTGGAACCTTCCTCAGGCTCTGAGTCCCTTACTTCTTCTGCAGGTAGGCAGCCACTTCAGACTTCCGGAAGCCATCCAGGTGATAGAGGCGTGAGGCCAAGTTCCAGGCTACCTTGTCACTCCTGACACCATTAGCCAGCCTGTCTCCAGCTGGTGACCTCTGGCCTTCCTCTGGGGACCGTGCTTGGGGCATGAGGCGCTCAGGACGCCTGGAAGAGTCCAGCGGTGTCCTCAGACTCTCACTGGAGATGGACATGCAGGGCCTCTGGTCCAAGTGTCCTTGCAGGTCAGTCTCGGCAGGGGGTGCCCTGACCTCAGGGTCACAGCTGAAGCTCCGGGGCCTTGAATGGAGGGGCCTGGAGAAGCAGGGAGGAGGCAGAGTCACAGCCAGACTGGCCTGGCCAGGACCTGGAGAGCCCAGGCAGGAAGGTCTTCACACAGGCCACCAGGGTCAGTGCCAAGCTGGGTGTCCTGCACCCCTCAGGTAAGCCACATGAGGTGCAGAGCTTATCTCAGGTGGCAGATGCCGCCCTGTGAGGACCACAGTGGTGTTTGTACAACACAAGACAGGTGGGATTGTCTCCCTCACCTGTCCTGTGATCCTCATACATCTCCCTGTCCCTTTCCTACCTCCCAGCCCCACCTCCAGCTCCACTCCCAGATCTGGAGCCTAGAAAGCTGTAAGGATGTGTTGTGAACAGGAACTGGGAATGACAGCAGCTGGGGGAGTCCAGGAGGTGGTCCCCAATCTCTCCTTTCCCCCACCTGGCAGTCCCACGACAAGGAGGGCAGGTGGTGACTTATCATGAGCACAGACAGGCCCAGCAACCCCCAGTAGATTCAGAGGATACTCCAAGTCTGGCACTAAGACCCTCAGTTACCACTCAGTCCAATTTCTGCCTGACTCTTCTGTTTCCCCTGCAACATGACAACCACATGTGGGGTGTCCTAGTTATTATTTAAACATTCATTATCCAGGTTACCATAGTTAGGGGGTTGTACAGGTAAGCAAAGGTCATCATAATATGAAAATATTCACTGATCAACTGACCACTTACAACATTAGGCTTCACTCGACCACCCTGTCCCCCTAATGCAGACAGGTCAGGGTTTTTGCTGGAGTCTTCTCCCTGCTTCCTGAGGCTCATTAACAATGCAGGATAAACATAACAGAAACTAGCTGAAAAATGAAATTACAACTCTGGCCAAAAAAACCCAAAGATTTCATAAAGTTGGTCAAAGTGATGCTGGTAGACCCCCGGAATCACATGGCAAGCCGCTGACAAATGAGGAGCTGGCACGGTTAGTCCAATAAACAATGGAAAAGGAGAAAATTAAAATAATGACCCGGTTGTCAGAACTAAAGAGAATTACTTGAAGAATCAACTAAAATATATTTTAAAAATTGACCAATTAGCATTGTTACTAAAATAAGATGGGGAAGCACTTTGGAAAAAATATGCAAATGTAAATGGTCGTGGAATTGTACACTTTAAATGGGTGAATCATATGGTATGTGAATTATATCTCAATAAAGCTGTTATTTTACAAAATGACCTTTATGATCTCACTGGGAAAGTCAAGCATGAGTGAAAGACGTCTCCGATCAGCAAACTTGTGCTGGGAAAATTAAACTTCCTACATTGTGTTAAATGTAAGATTAAATAAACTTATTTATATAACGTTTAGTGTCATTTACCAAGATAAAGCCGCAGTTAAACCTTTTTCATTATTTGATGTGAAAGTATGGTTCTCATTTTAGGTACATTTACTCACTTTTGGTTTGGAGGAAGTTACATTTTGGGCTCCCTTTTTAGAGGCTGGGACTTGTCTGGTGGCCAGGCCTCTGAACATCTCCAGGGCAGCTGGTTTCCAGGTGCACCAGGAAGACGGCTCTTTGGTTTCTGGCACTGACTGACTAACATTCTGTCACCATCACCCAAGGCCACCACGCTGGGAGTGGGGTTAACCCTCCAGTTACTGCACCACTGAGTCCCTGACCTAAACCATTGCCCGTCCCTCCAAGTCTCTTCAATATGAACCCTATTCAGCCAACCAAAGGACAAAACCCTTTTCCAGTGTCAAGATCCCAGGGCTGACCGTCTTGACATAGCATCCTGGGGCAGGTGGACATCTAGGCTGGGTTCCCAGCCGGCCTATTCCTACTGCTGGTCACAGTTTCGAGGTTACACAACCCTACGAGGGGTCCCGAGATCCATTCCCTTGGTTCCCATCAAACCTCCGTGTGGCGAGCCCTGAGCCAGCACCCTGGGCCTGGGCTTTTTGGTAAATTCCTCTCAGAAACCTCCTCAAATTCAGAGCAGTCTATAACCCTCAAAGCACAAGCTCTCCCCTTCTACTCCCCCAGCCTGCCGAACACGGCTCCAGTTTGGTCTGGTCACATGGTTCTGGTCAGGTGACCCTGGAAAGCTCCTCCCCTTCCTCCTCTCCTGGTGTCTAGCTGTGGACACTCCTCCCGTGGCCCTGCCCCAGCACACTCAGATCCTGCCCCCACGTGAATGACCATCTGCCCTTTCGTTTCGGATGTTTTCAAACCCTCCAGTCTTTCTGAAAACTCTCCTGGTGCCCAGTCCTGTTATCCTTCTTAATAAGTATTAGTATGTTAAATCCCAATGTGCATTTCTCATGCTCCATCCAGACTAGGCTACTCTTGAATGCATCTGTAATTAGGAGCCAGAGAGCCAATTAGTCTGAGACTCACCCTTCTGGGGGAGTCAGGTGAACGTCGGGCTCGGCGCCCCCAGCCTCCGCGGGCCCGACTGTGCCTTCACTCTTCACTCCCTGCCCTGGGCTTGGAGCTTCCAGCACCTCCTCTTTCTCCACGGAACTTGGCTCTGCCCCATCTTCCTCCAAGAGTGAAGAGCACGAAGCATCTGGTGTCCACTTGGGAGAAGTGCCCGAGCTGTGGCGCTGGAGCTGCGGGCTGCCCTCCTGGGATGACGCAGGGCTGGGCCTGGGACCGGGGCCTCTGCTCTCAGACTCGGGGCTGCTAGGGTGCGGTGAAGAAGCTGGGCTCTCCCAGGGGCTGGGGGCCAAGGTGCAGGGAGCAGATTCCTGGGGGTGCCCAGCTTCCCTCTCACCTGAGGAGGAGCCTAGAGTGAGGCAGGTATAGGGCTGGAGGCAGGGCTGCCACCTCCCGGCTCCCTCCCTGCAGCTCCTCCCCTGGAGCTGGGCAGCACTCCCTGTCCCTTCCTCTGGCAGTGACCTCCCCCACAGGCTGGGGTTAGGCTCCCAGGACTCCTGCCCTGAGGCAACTAAAGGTTCAGGATTTCTGTTAAATTACTAAGACCCAGGGGTCAAAAATGCTGGGTCTAGAGCAGGCACCTGGCTCATGCCTACAGGTGGCTCCCAGCCACTCCAGGAGGCTGAGGGGAGCCAGACCCTAGTTTCTTAAAAACAAAATAAAAAGCTGAGTCTTTTGTACATTTCCTTCATTTACTCTAAATATTTTAAAACCCATTTTAATGAGGAAGTCCGAGAGGCAGAGGCAGTGTTAACCCCAAGTCTGTCTGGCTCCAACACAATACAGTGGGACCCCTTAATGACAACCGTGGATCTAAGAATGACACTTGTCTCCAGTCCAAATCCTAAAACCTCTCACCTCCCAATTTCCCAGACCCCCCCCATAGGGGCTCACCTCTGTCCTGGGAAATAAGAGGCCCCTGGGGCCAGGATGGACCCCCTGTGGTCTGCAGGCCCTCAGGGCTGGGCGGGGCCTGTGGAGAGAGACACAGGCAGGCTTTTCAGGAGCCCTGGAGGTGCTGAGAGGGGAAAGGGGCAGAGGCCAGGCTGGAGGAGGGGAGAGGAAGGGAGGGGAAGGAGCCAGGGGTGGCAGAAGCCCCTCCCTCCTTGTCATTCTCCCACCCAGACCACATGGGCACCAGAAGAGGGGGCCTGGATGTCCAGGAGAAGACCCACATCCTAGGAGTGTTGGTGCCAGGCCCTGCAAATCAACGGGCTCATGTTCCTCCTTCAAAGATGGAGAAGGTGAGGCCCAGAGAGGGGAAGTGACTTGCCCAAGGTTGCACAGGATATGTGGCAGGGCCGAGGTAAGATCCAGCACATTCTGTTTCCCAGGTTAGCGCTTTGTCCACACAGGGTGTCGCAGATGGGGCAGGGCCAAGCCTGTCTCCCAGAGAAGTCTGAGAGAGAGAGAGAGAGAGAGAGAGAGAGAGAGAGAGAGAGAGAAAAGGGTTTGCCTAGAGCAAACTTGTTCCCAGGGCCTTTCCCATAACCCATAAGGCCTCCTCCCTTTGGTCTGCCCAGATGGCCCTGCCCCAGGTCCTCAGGTGGTGCCAGCCCAAGAAAGGGCTGTTACAGGGAGGGCCACAGCCCCAGGCACTGACTGGGCTGGGGAGGGGGGCTCTGCCATCCCAGAATGGATGACAACTTCCAGCTTCCAGGCACTCCAGGCTTCCCTCTGAGGACCTTAGTGCTCAGAGCAAGAAGGTCCTGGGAAAATGCACCTGCACGGGACAGAGCCCCAGACCCCCACACTGGGGCCCTGGCTGGCGGTGGCAGGGACTCTGGTCAGCACTAGGGAGCTTCTGTGATCTTGGGGCTCAGCTGAGAGAGATGCTCTGGTTAGCAGCTCTTCTCCGTTGTTCTCAGGGAACGGAGAGATTAGAAAGTTACAGCCTCCTCTGCCATCTTGAGTCTCCTTATCTTGTAAGCAGAGGCCTCCCTGGGAAAACTGTGCTCCCTATTGTCTCACAGAACTCGTCCCCATCCCTGGTTGATATCGAAGAGCTCCGCCATTGTGCCATTGTCATTCTCACCCGATCTACTAGCACTGGACAGGGGAGAAGGAAAGATGGTGAGCTAAAAGTAACAAAATGCCAACATCTCTCATGAAAAGAGAGGACAGGACTCCTAAAATAGACATGTCTCTCTGTAAGGGGTAGAGGCCACCGTTGCAGGCTGCCCCTTCCCTGATACAGTGAAAATGTCTTGCAGGTGGGAGGGGAAGAATCTGAGAACAGCCTGGAACACGCTGCAATTGGAGGAGCTATTTGTTCTCCAAACGTATCTAGACATAGCCCCTTGTAGCTGGTGAGATGGAGATATTTGTGGACTTAATTGTCATCGTGTTCAGGTGACATCATGGCATTGATAAAATTCCCTTTAATTCTGAAGGCCACACCGGTCCTGATTTTCTGTTGTATTACGCCAGACCCCGAAAGGCCCCAGCGTCAGAAAACAGTGCTCTAAGCCTGGTGAGCCCAGAGGAAGGCCTTCCCCTCCAGGTCCCCAGCACAGCCCTGGGTTGGTTCCCAGGACGGGGCTTACCTCGCTCTCCCACTGACCAGGAGGGGCTGCTGGAGTCCCCTCAGCAGTGGCCTCTGAGGCCCAGCAGGAGGAGTGCAGTTTGTAAACAGGCACAGGGAACGGAGGGGTGCTGTGTCCACTGGCAGTGCCGTCCTCCAAATCCAGCTCACTTCCCGGCGGCTCCCATGGCACCGCACCTCCCGGGAGTGGGGGCTCCTGGGTCTGTGGGCACTCAAGTCCAGCCCTCACATCTGCGTGGGAGTCCGAGAACCCCCAGGAAAAGCGCTCTCCGGAAGCACTGGTCTCCGAGCAAGGGCTCTCCAGGAAGAGGGGGTTGTTGAAGAACATACTCTCCTCTTCAGCACCCCACTCTGGAGAAGAGCCTGGGGTTCCCCCTCTTGGCCAAGTCTGGTGCCCCTGCTCAGGCCCGCTGCTGTCTTCCCCTGAGTCCTCCTCCTCAGGTGGGCTGGGGCACAGGCCCACGTCCCCGGGGAGGTTTGCTGGGGGCGTGGGGATGCAGCATCTCAGCTCAGCCCTGAGCCCCTCCGTCTTCTCCAGCTCCTCCTCCAGGTCCAGGACGCACATCTGGGCCTGCAGGATGCCCGCCCAGAACACCACCTGCGTGGACGTGCTCTGGCTCTGCCGCGGGCTCCCCAGAGGACGGCTGTCCCCAGATGCCCCTGGCGGTGATGCACTCTGCCTGTGCTCCCCCGGGGAAGAGCAGCTCCCCAGGTGTGTGAGCTCCGCCCCTGAGCCCTGGGGAGGAGCATCTTGTTGGAGGGGCTCAGGGCGTTCCTGACCTCCGCAGGTTTCCCTCAGGCACGCTCCTGGGTGGGGCTGCAGGTTGTCTCCCAAATAGATGTTGAGAAAGTCCATGGGCTGGGGCTGGTCAGAGAGTCCGTAGTCACCCATCATCCGCTCTGCCTTCACTGTCCCATTGTGTGGATTAGGAGGCGTGCGGGCCCAGGGGGTAACTGGGAGTCACATCTACCCTGGAAATGACCAAAGCAATCATAGGTTAGGAAGGGCTGTCAGCCACTGGAAGCACACGTGTGGTGTGTCAGATGTGTTTGGAGTGCCTGCCACTCTATGCCCGCTGCTAAGGGACACTGCCCCCCACAGCCCTGCGGTGGGTGAGGGGTGCACCATATACACATCAGCGCAGCACCTGCCCCAAAGACACCCGTCTGTTGGCTGAAGGTGGCTTGGCTGAAAAGGAGGAACCAGCCAGATCAGATCATTCTCTACGGATTGAGAATTGTAGAATGGAGACGAGCTGGCTGGCAGCAGGAACACAGGTGGGAATGCCTCAGGCAGGCCACCAAAGTGCTCGGGAGCCACTCGGAGGCTGGAACAGACTCTTGGGAGAAGTAGGCACCCAGGCACCCGTCAGATAAGGCTACCGCCAGCTTTATCTCCACTTGCCAAGGCCTCTGTCTTTGGGGCCTACACCATTCACGAGGCTAGATCACTGGCTGGTTTTGGTCCTTGCAAGCTGTTGACAGCTGTGCAATTTGGCCCAGGTGGACAAGTGAAGGGCTATCCACAAAGCTCAGCCCAGGCTTCATGGAGGGAGGACACTTCAGCCCTGCTGCCCAGCACTGAGCAGACCACCTGCCCCATGGGGAGGACCTCCCTGGCTTCTGGGCCATGGTGGCTGTGTCTGCCTGCGGCTGCAGCACCAACACCAGAGCTTCCCTGAGCGTCAGCCACACCAACGCTCCGGGAGAGCCCTTATCAGACGCAGCTAGGAACCTCACAGGGTGTTTTCTGGAAGCATGCATCTCCATCTCCCCTATGTGGCCCCCAGCTTACAGGGTTCCCGGAGTGCCTTGCTTCCTCAAAGCAATTGGCTTGCTTTGATCCAATGGACACTGTGAAGCTGGTAACTCACAGTCTGTTTCCCTCATGGTGCTGGCTCTCCAGAGTGCAGGGTTAAGTACACAGGCCCCGGTGGCATGTCTTAAACACATCACTGGCTTCATCATGTCTGTCCTTATCTTCCCTTGGCCTCACTTTCTTCACTCACAGTTTTCTACATTGAAGACTCCACCCCCAGGCTGAGGATCTGCACCATTTGCTCCAAAGTCTGAGAGTCAGTAGCGCTACCTATTTCACCTGAGCAGCCGCCCAGTTCCCACTCTCAGTGCTCTCTGGGTGAGGCCTGCGACAGTCCTACTTCCAAAGCGGAAGGGGTCAGTGAGACTCAGGACCCACTGTCTACACTCAGGCAGCTCCCCAAGTTGCCGAGCTCCCTCCCAGGCCTGCCTGGTGGGAAACTACCGAGCGTGAGCAAGGAGTGAAACATCCCACCACTGCAACCCCAAGTAACCAGCCCATGGGGTACAGGGAACAACTGGAAGATCTCTCCCGGGAGGAGGAGAGGAGAGCTGGGGAGAAGCACCTGGTCTACAGGGGCCAGAGCACAGAGCATCCCCAGCTCCACCCCACTGCCTCCCTTAGCTGGCCCCAAAGCACCTCCCTCCCTGCTAAGGCCTGATCAGTCTGGGCCCTCCTGGTGGCCCTCCTGGGCGTGATCCCTCCTCCTGTCCTCATCCCCCACCCCCGCACACTGTATCTGAATGGGTGACAGCCTCATGTCCCTGTGAGCATTGGAGCATTTTGCCAGGATGATATCAACTCACCCTCTCTCAGCAGTGAGCTCACTTAACAGAAGTTCCTGTGCCAACAATGGGAACGGAATGACACGCAGGGCCAACTGGAAAGGGCATCTTGCATTTTTGATAAGATAAGAGGGAGTCCCACATGTGTCCTTGCAAATATGTACTTGTAAACAAATATGCATATGTACCTAAAGCAGCAGTGCAGGTAATTAATGACTATGCCAGACATAAATGAGGGTTGGATCTGCCTTCCCAGAAGGAACCCAGTGTTTCTCACTGGATTTTTTTCAGAGCTGGAGGGGGGGATCAGAGAAGCTGCTACAGCTTTCCAGAAAGCGAAGAGGAGAGAGCAGATCTCTGATCTCTGGGGCTTGAGGGATCCAAATAGCCTGGGGGGGGGGTAGTGGGAACTGGAGGGAGCCCAAGGCGATGGGGGATGAGGGAGCGGAGACAGACCATAGTATTGGTGGGGAACAGTGTGTGCTTTGACTGGGCCATGACTCTGTAAACCAATTAGACTCAATCCAGCACATGCCATCCTGCATGCTTCCCTTTCAGAGCACTTATCCACCATCTCATTCCTAGCGTGTTCACTGGCCGGTTCCAGTTGGCCTAGACGGCAAGAGCCAAGAAGACAGGTTCTTTGTGCTTCCTGCTCACCACTGTGTCTCAGCACCTAAATGCTGAATGACTGAGTCACTTTACGTGACTGATTGTGCTGTACCCACTCCTACCCACAAAGTCCTGGGGGCACAGAATTATACTGCAGTTCAGGTGCACTAGAAAGTTAGCATTGCCTTGAGACATTCAGGCCTGCCTGCGGCCTGAGCTGGGGTGTGAACCCAGGTCTGTGTCTCTCTTAAGTGTCACACTCTCTTCCCACCCACAAGTCAATTCCCGTGGACATTCCTGAATTCCCTCGTGGAGCAGAGAGTCACTCGAACTCCTGTTTCCCCACTGCCCAGCGCAGCACCTGCTTTGCTGAGAGGCAGCACTCCAGAAATGTTCGTGAAAATCAGAGAAGCGTGGATGGATGGACAGATGGGCGGAGAGACAGACAGATAGGATGGATCCTCAGAACACTTCCTCCACAACAACCCAAGCGAGAGGACTGGGGAGACTGAGGCGTGGAGAAGGAGAATTGGCATCATTATGACATGATGACTTCTTCATGGGGGCCAGTCTGCCCATGAACGAATTGCCTCTTCCTCCCGGGAAGCCCTGCACTCTGAGGGCTGCAGAGGCAGACCCCTGCCAGGTCAGCAGTCAAAATGTCCCTATGGGCTTTAGCTCCCAGGCAGCTGCCTGGACAGAAAGCAGGAGACTTGAGGAGGACCCTTTCAATCAACTTGTGTGTGCTCTCCACTTGTGGAGGGGATGCTGTGTAATCAAGTGTTTAAGAGATTTCTTCCTCCCTTCTTTCCTTATTTATTCCCTTCTTTCCTTATTCATTTATTTAGGAAAAGAGTCTTGCTCTGTTGCCCAGGCTAGAGTCTGGTGGCATGATCACAACTCACTGCAGCCTCAAACTCCTGGGCTCAAGCGATCCTCCTGCCTCAGCCCCCCGAGCAGCTGGGACTACAGGTGCATATAACCATGCCCACCTAATTTTATTTATTTATTTTTTTTAGAGATAAGGTCTCACTATATTGCCAAGTCTCAAACTTTCTGGCCTCAAGAGATCCTCCTGCCTCAGCCTCCTACAGTGCTGGGATTACAGGCATGAGCCACCATGCCTGGCCCCAACTGTTTTTAATAGCTTTGACCCGAATGAAGGGGTGGGGTGACCTAAAAAGGGTGAGATCACTTCTTATGGCCACAAGGCAATCCCACCAGTCCCCTGGGTGAGGGCAGCCCGACCTAGGAAAGGGCAATGATGGAGACCAGCCTTGGAGGTAGGATGGCATCTCTTCAGAAGAGGCAGGCCAGGAACTGGGGAGCATAGCCCAGGTCTTCCGCATCCAAAATTTTCTTGATTTACCTTTTTTCCCCCCCACCTCTGGTGTTTAGTAAAATCTCTTTTGAAATCTCTAGTCTGTTTCAGTTATCCAAACCAGAACAAAGGCAAAGGGAAGGGAATCCAGGATAAAAGATCTGCCACATGCCTGGTAAGGTGAGTCCTGTCACCTCTACAATAAAGTGGCCCTTCATTCCAGCCCCCCCCACCCCAGCACTGCTACACAGCTCAGGATATTTAAGGAGGGTATGGAGGAGGGAGGGAGGGAGCGGGCAGGGACAAGAGAGCACTGCTCCACTGTGCACCACCAACTCTCACATCTCGAACTTAGCTGATGACATTAGGAAATTTTCACCATGGCTGAGGGTGCATTTCTCACGGAGAATCCTGCCGGGGCTAAGCTATGCGTCCAGCTAGTGGGAGGTGAAGGACCCAGAAATAGATGGCTGAGGAATCAAGAAGACAATCCCTTCCACCCCACCCTACCCCATGCCACCCTGGGGCTTCAAGGCAATTTCCTTTTGATTTTAGGAAGCAAGAACAAGCACAGATGTCACCCGGATTGTGCTTTTGAATAGTGGGTTTGTTCTCTACCCTCAGCTTGGGGATTCAGCCTTGTCCTCTGGCTGGGGACCAGGCGCGGAGGCTGGGGTACCTACAGGGCTGTCCCGAGTAGGAAGGGTCACACAGCCTAGGGTGCCCTGCACTGACGCGCCCCTTGCCCCCCATGGTGAAGAACACAGACATAGAGGCTCACACACCAGGCTCCCATCCTACCTCTACAACTGATGAGTCATGTGACTCTGGGTGAAAAAACGTCACCTGGTTCCTTATCTGTAAAACAGGGAACTGAGATGCGGCAAAGCCACTCTGCAGGTTTGTTACAAAGTCGGAAGGGGTCTGAGTGCTATGCTGGGCCCGGCCCTTGGCAGGTGCTCGAGAAATATCATGCCCTGCTCAGTTTAACTTTGTTGTTTTGCCTGTCAGTTCAGAAATGCTAAAATAAACAAAACCAAACAGCCCTCCTGGTCAGTCTCAGCCTGAACTGCACACGCTTCTCGGCTCTCAGCCTCCTGGAGGCGCCAGCCCTAAGCCTCCTACCCCGAGGGTGGAGGGTGTCTGTCTCTATCTCTCTCTGTCTTTGAGCATCCAGACTCCGCAGGCAGACACTCCTTCCTTTTACTCTGGAAACCTTTTCCTTCCTGTGGAAAAGCAAGAAGGCGTCTGACCTGTCCAGGACTTAGGAGGTGACCTGTCCTGTGTCCCTGTGCAGCACAGAAAGCTGCTGGGCTAGAGATGTCCCTGCGGGCGGGAGCCAGGAGCGGAGTTCCCTGGCCTGGAGTCGTGAGGCAGCCGCCCGGTCTGAACCGGGGCCTGAAGCACCGTGAGAGAAGTGAGCAGAGGAGGCCCACATCCTGCCCACACGGAAGGAGCCTTCATGCAAATGCGCGCAGAGAGCTGAAGGCCTGTGGTGGGCCAGCTGGGAGAAGAGAGAGGGAACAGAGAGGACGGGGGCTGCCATGAGCAGAGAGGATGGTGGAGAGAGAATGGGGGCCACAGCGCACCCGAGGGCCCCTGGGCAGCTGCTGCCTGGGAAGGACAAAGATCCCCAGGAAGTTCAGGGCCAGGCTGGGCCTCTCCTCCCTCTGTACTCTCACCTTACCTCTTTCACCCCTTCGTTGGATCTTTCCTCTCCCCCTGTGGGTTCTAATCCGTACGCTGGTGGGTCCTTCTCTGTAGAAGGAGGAGACGATGGGATGCTCTAGGGCCCAGAAAGCTGAGGAGACAGGCCCATCTGGGCCCACTCTTTCAAGCTGAGCTAAGGCCCAACGGACCTGAGGGGTACTTATCATCAGCTGATGACAGGCCGCCTTTCCCTGCATTTTAGCAGAGGGAGGACTACAACTATAGAATTTTTGGCTCTAGAATGGGGGGCCATGATTGGGGAGGTTCCCTCCACGAGGATGCCTTTGCCATGACAATAATAACCATAACGAGTGGGCCTTATAGCGTCCCCGATAGGGAATGCAATAGTTCCTGCAGCACATGAGGACAACAGGCCTAAACTAGTGCTAAACCAGCAAGGAGGGTCCCCACCTCTACTCCTAGAATGGCCTGAGGCTGGGAGCCCCCAGGGGACGCTGAGCTCCTGCAGAGGCCACACCCAGAGCTACCCCAAGCCCAGGCCAGCCCTGACTACCTCCCTCCAGGGGTCTGGGGTCAAAGCTCACCTGGGGCCACTGACTACAAAAGCCCCTAAGGATACTGAGCCATAGCAGTCACCGGGGAGACCACAAGAGGTTGAGCAAGGGGATTCCTTCACTCTTCACTGTGGCAGAACTCCGGGGAGCCTGGGGGTGCTGGGGAAGGGAAATGGCAGGGGTTGGGGGAACCAGGGCAGGGAATCTGGAGAAGGGTCAGATGTGGAGGGGTCGGCTGAGGGACGAGGGGGACAGAGAGGAGGAAGGGGAGGCTGGGGTGTAGCCTAGGCCAGGCTCATGGCACATGCTCACCCAGGAGGTGCACACTGCCCTGCACCTCCTGCGCCCTTCCTGACCTCCTGCCCCACCCCACACATTCCCTGCTCTCCCTCCAGCCTCGCCCCGGCATGCCCACCTCACTCACCTCCAGAGGGCCCAAGAAGGGAAGGTTGGCCCAGGCGCCCCAGGAGCACGTCCTGGCTGCACAGTCCTGCCCAGCAAATACGGCTGGGGCGGCTAGTGCTTCCGCCTTCCGCCCTCCTCCACCACAACACACCCCCGCTGCTCCCCACCACCTCCCCAGGGCTCCGAGCTACTCAGCCCCACACTTCCTGCCCACAACAAGAGAGCCTCCACTCCTAGGCCCAGCAGCTGGGCCCTTCCCCACGTGCCCACTCCCGGGAGGCCCCCACTCTGCACACCAGGCCAGAAGGACCTGCCATGGCTCGGACTGGCTTTCTCCCACATGGAAAGCCTGGGAGACAGAAGGGAGAAGTAGCCCAGTCTGGACTGAGAGCAGGCCCCACCTCCTGCCTCCTTTCCCCGGCTCTCTGTCCCTGCAGGACACAGAGGAGGAGACAGGAGGGCCCCAGGCCGGACAACTTTTCTTTTGCTGTTTTTAACATTTCAAATTCCATGCGACTGTATCTCAAGTCACCCAACACAGCTGCCTTGTAGTTATCAAGTGTCCCCCAATAGCACCTCAGCCACTCCTCACACCTACTTTATGAGGCATTACTAAACCCACTGTGCAGATACGGATCCAGAGGCAGGCTCAGAGAGGTTAAGCCACTGCCCAGGGTTGCACAGCTGAGAAGTCACAAAGCCTGGGTTAGAACTCAGAGCCTCTGACTATATGAACTGACTGTCCTCCAAACCCATGGCTGTCTCTGCAAGTGTGAGACTGGGGCTGTGGGGAACCACATTCACTGTACCATTCTATTCTCTGTCTACACAATCTACCGCTTCAGCCTCAACTACCACAGACTTCTCTGCTGAGGGTCCAAAGACTCTGCCTTGCCCTACACTCTAGTCGTCACAAATCCAGCTGCCCAGTGGACTCCTCCACTTGCAAGTCCACCCACCGGCCATGCCGGCCCACAGTTGAGAGGGTCGGGCTCTAGCTCTCCCTCCAGCCTCACCCCTCCCCAAAGCACGCGGAGTCCACAGGGCCACGCCTGCCTGGAGCCCACACGCCGGTTCCTCCGCCACACTGGGCACCAGGATCCTGGGTGATTCTCTGCTTCTGGGGCCGGAATGGCTACCCCCTCTCATGGGCACGCTGCAGCGCTGCTCTGCGCAGCCCTAGACTGGGGCAGGGTGGGGGCAGGAGTGCTGACAGAGGGGTGGGACGGGGGTGGACCGGGCTTGGACCTGTGGGCAGGTTACCACCCACGTGCACATGTGAGTAGGGCCACGGCAGGGGCCAAAGGCTGGGGTGGACTCTGGCCCAGCAGCCCAGGCAGAGGAGGTTGAGAATCTTAACCCAAACCTGGACCTCCAGGCCACGACAGAGGTAGGGGACAGGATGATAGGACACACTCTGTATGACGGCTTGTCAGCTTTGGTTGTAACTTGCACACATTCGGACACATCAGCCGGGGCCTCCACCGTTCACTTCCCGTGGCTGGCAGCATCAGGTCAGGCTTATCTCACCAGCACCCCGAACCTCGTGTTTGTGAGGGACACCTGGTTCCTTCTCCCCCACGCTGTCTTCCTCCCATATTGGGGTTCGTACAACACTCTGCCTAGCTGGGTAAGCCAGAAAGTCACCAAGGCCTAAATGCAATGCTCTGCTCAGGCCTGCAGCCCCTCGGGTGGCCACGGCTGAGGTCAGTGCCCACTCCATGCAGCCTGCTGACCTGTCAGGAATAAAACACACGACCCCTGTTCTCAGGGAGCTTCTAGTCCAGGGACAGAGGCAGAAGATAAACAAGCGATTGATGAATCAACACCTGATCACAGACTGGGTGAATGCTGAGAGGGAGGAAGGGCTAGAGAGAAAGGGAGAGAGCAGCAGGGCTGAGGGCACCGTCTGGGGGGTGGGGGGAGTCGGGGTGGGCAGTAGGCCTCACAGGGCACTCCATATCCAGGGGAAGTGGGGCCATGCGGAGGGAACTGCACTCCTAGCTGCTCCTCTGAGGCAGGAAAGGTCTCCACGATCCTGGGAACAGAGACACTCCTGTGGGGGGTTGGGAAGAAGATGGGCCAGAGGGGCAGGGCCAGATCCCATAGGGCTCCCGGGCGGTGAGCTGCACGGGGTGCATTTTAAGTGGGGAAATGATAGATCAGTGAGCACCCGTGTACTTATTTTTATGATCATCTGTCTGCTGTATGGACAATGGATGGTGGAGACCAAGTCCGAGGAGAGCAGTCAGGAGGCTCTGTGGGAGGCCAGGAGAGGGGGGCAGGGGCCTGGCGGGCAGGGATGGCAGGGAAGGGGGGCACAGGACTGGGAGTGCACACTGGGGGATGGTGGGCCTTGGGCTTGATTAGAGGGAAGGATAACGAATAACAGGAGAGGAGTTGAGAGCAACTTCCAGACTTTGGCTCGAGTGACTGGATGAGTGGCAATAACAGCATTTGCTGAAACAGGAGAGAAATGGGGAGATGAGGTTCTGGGGAGAAAATCCAGCATTTGATTTTTTTAAATATTGCGTTTGAGCTATCTGTGAGATATCCAAGTAGGCAACTGAAAAATGCTCCTGCAGTGAATGCACATCTGTGACCAGCAGAGAGGTGGTCTGAGCCCACTGGCCCAGCATGGGAGGGGACAAGTCTGCAAAGGAGACTGACAGGAGACTGTCAAGAAAGTGAGAGAGTGTGTTGTCACAGAAGACAAGAAAGGAGCTTGCTTCAAAAGGAGGAAGTGGTGACTTTGTTGAACACTGCTGGGAAGTCAAATAAGGTAAGAAGTGACCGACATGGGTACAGACAAGCAGGGCTCAGAGGTGACCCAGAGGCAGAAGCCAGGTGACCATGAGGCTCCCAGGACTGGAGCAGCGGTGGTCAGGGGAGGCACCAGTGGTCTGTCCCCTTCCCCAAGCCCAGGCCTGCCCTCCGCTGTTCATGGGGCTCCATCCTCCCCTGGACTGGCCCATGCACCGTCCAGCATAGAGCCTGGCTCACAGCCACTCCATGAGTGACTAACAGCTGCTCATCTCTTCTTTAGTGACTTGGGGACAATCCTGTGGGAAATGGCCCTGTCTCCCATCTCTCCCCTTTCCATCAGGGCAATGGGTCTTATACACTTACGGGGTGCACATGGGATAGGGGGTGTGAGGTGTGGCCAGGGGTTGGTTCTAAGAACCTCCCAGACTCCCAGAGTCCCCAGCTCTGTTCTGTCTCCTATCACTTTTACCTCCTTCCCCAAATTGCAATGGCCAAAACTCTGGCTGGAAGATCCCTCGGCACAGACAGGGAGGGCCTCCAGGTCAGGAGGGTGTCCTGGCTCCTGCCCCAGAGCCCCACCTAGCTACGAGCTTCTATCTGCTGTACCCCCTCCTCCCCTGGGGTTCCCTCCCTGGCCTGTCCTCCTCCCCAGGGCCCAGAGGACAGAGCCCCCGACCTGGCCCGCAGGCACACAGCAGACCTGGCCCGCAGGCACACAGCACTGCCTCCCTCGAGCTGAGCTGCTTCCTGTTTGCACGCAGAGGAAGCGCTTGGCACAGATGCCAGGCGGCTCCTATGCTCCGAGCACAGAAGGGGGAGTGAAGCCCACCTTCCCGGGAGGAGCCCTGGGGGTTTCAGCACACAGTCTGCCACTCCTGGGACGCAAAGGGGACAGAGGAGGGAGCTACAAAGGTGGAGAATGGGCACCTGACTTATAACCTCCCTTTCCTGGGCACCTCTATGTGCTGACACGCACAGCAGCCCTCTCCAGGCGCCATCTCCAGTCCCTAGGGGTCTGTGGGGCTGCGGGGGGCATCATTTCCCCCCTCCCCCCGCACTACAGAACAGATGAGGAATCGGAGGGTCAGAGCAGTTGCTCAGCTCCCGCAGGCAGTAAATGTAAAGCTGGGGTCTTGACGTAGGGCTGTGGAAGCCCTGCAAACACCCCATCCGCTGCAAAGCTGGGGTCTTGACGTAGGGCTGTGGAAGCCCAGCAAGCACCCCATCCGCTGCACCCTGTTACCACCCACACGCTGCAGATAGGAAACCCCACAGCTCTTGACAGTGTGAGCCTGACTCATGTCTCCCAACTCAAAGCTTATAAAAACTCTTGAGCTAATGGAGCTTAAATACGTCCTTCTAGGACACCAGCCACTGGTGGCCTGAAGCGCCTCACTGGGTCCCCATGCCCCTGAACTTGTCTACATAAAAGTTTTTTCCTTTAGAGAAGCCTGGGAGTAAGGCAGCCGCACGCCCCTTTCTCCAGAAAAGGCCCCATCCCTCCCAGCTCTCCCACCTCCCAGCCTGGGCCCCTCCTCATTCCTCTGCCCAGGAGATGCTCACAGCCCTCCAGCCAGCTCGACTGTGGGCTCCAGGATCAGAGCAGGCAGCTGGGAGGTAGGGCTGGGCCAGGGCTTGCAATGACTGACCACATGGCAGGGCCAAAGGTGTCCCGTGCCTGATGCCTGTGGTCTTAGAACGGGAGGGAGAAGTCTTAGAGGCAGGACACAGAGGAAAGGGAGAGGAGTCCAATGGTAACGTCACCAACCTCCCCAACGCATGCCATCCACGTGTGCCAATGCTGCCCTCAGCATCAGGGAGGAGGGCAGGGAGTGATGAGCTTCTATCTCTGCACATGCCTCACCAATCCCGTGGTGGGTGCAGCAACCTCACTGTCCCCACCCTGCCTGTGGCCAGTCACATGAAACACTGTGATTGTGGACAGATGTCCAGGGAGGGATGGGGTTGCCCAGGCCACAGCTCCCCGGCTTTTGCCCACCCCAGCACGAAAGTCCACCCTAGCCTTCCTCTCCCAAGGCTGCCCTTCTCGGCTCTCTCCCGATTCCGTGCTTTTTCGACCAGCACTTTCTCTGCAGCCACTTGCCATGGCTCTGTCCCTCTCATATGAGCAGTGAATTGGGCTGCTCATGTGAATTGGGCTCTACATTCACCCTCTGTGCCCCAGCCCCCTTGGCACCAGGAGCCACCCACAAAAATTCTGCTGAAACACATGTGCACATAGTTACTTACAATGGCAACAATGCTCACACCCTCCACACCCACAATAGGGAATCAGATAAGTCGATTACGGTATAGCCACATAGCCATGATGGCCCTTCAGCT